TCAACAAGTCCAACTTCATCGATTAGGGTGTTGGTTGAATGGACTTGGGACTCTAGCTGGCACGGCATCCCTTGTAACCCTGTAGACACTGTAGTGGGCAAAAAGATTGTAACACACAGAATCAGCATCATTTTGATAAGGCATTCTTTTTGCTAATCCTTTCTCCCTATTACGAAAAATACCCCCAAATGACAAAAACTAGGTGCGATTTCCAATTTTGGGAAATGTCAAATTGGTTAATCTGATTTTTAATTGATCCCCTTGAAGAAACAATTTTAAAAATGAAGGTACCATGTGAGGGTTTCACCCCCAAAGAATAAAAAACTAGTCAACACCGGGGTGTCTTTTATTGTGGTCCGTCCTTTAAGATCGTCAATTTTAGTTTTTTTAATTCAGTTGTTGGTGTTTTATTTGATACTAGGCGAAAGCTTCGAAATCCTATTCTTGGCAGTATTCTATTTAAAGATTATTTTCATAGATTTTGAAATTAGAAACAAAAAACGGTTTAATCCCTTCCCCCTGTTGCTAAACAGTCGCCCCTTCACCCACCCACCCAAATAACAAACACCTGGAGGAGTTTTTAGTATTGGGGGGGTCTTTAGTATTAGGGTACGAAGTTTCCCCCTAATACTGATAAAACACACACACAAATATATATATATACACACATATTTCTATTTCAAAATCGATCAGATTTCTTTCTTTTTAAATCCAATTAAAATATGGCAAACAAGTGGATTCCGAAGCTTAATATCAAATAAAACCCCCAACATAAAAAACTATGTATGTTTTTCTATTTCGAAATCGATTAGATTTCCTTTTAAAAATTTTAATAAAATATGGCCAAAAAATTGGATGTCGAAGCTTTTCCCTTATATTAAACCCTAATATCATTAGTTTTTTTCCTGTTTCAAAATCGATTAGATTTCCTTTTGAAATCTAATGAAAAAAAACAAAAAATTCATTTTGAAGTTTTCCCCTAATATCAAATTAAAATTCAATTATTAAAATATGTTCAAAAATTGGATTTCGATGCTTCCCCTAATCTTGCATGAAAAATTCCAATATAAAAAACTAAATTTGTTCTATTTCAGAATCGATTAGATTTCCTTGTAAATTCAAATTAAGATATTGCCAGAAATTGGATTTCGAAGCTTTCCCCTAATATTAAACCCTCATATCAAAGACTATTTTTTCTATATCAAAATTCATTAGATTTCCTTTTGAAATCTAATTAGAATATGGTCAAAAATTGGATTTTGAAGTTTTCCCCTAATATTACATTTAAAAACCCTAATATAAAATATTATTTTTTCTTTTTTGAAATCGATTCGATTTCCTTTTAAATTGTAGTAACAAAAATAAAAACAAAAACCGGATTTTGAAATGTTTCCTCTAATATTAAATTACCAGCCCTAATATATTTAAAAAAAACTGTTTCAAAATCGATTAGTTTTCTGTTTAACATATAATTAAGATATTGCTAAAAATTGGATTTCGAAGTTTTCCCCTAAGATTAAATTAAAAACACTAATAAAAAAACTATGTTTTTTCGATTTCAAGAATCGATTAGATTTCCTTTTGACATCCAGCAAAAATATTGCCAGGCAATGCCAAAAAGTGGATTTCGAAGTTTTCCCCCAATATTATATAAACGTTGTAATATAAAATACTTATTTTTTCGACCTTAAAAGACCCTAGTTTAAAAAAACACCGGGGCTGACTAGTTTTATTTTTTGGTGGTGAAATCATGAAATGGGACCTTCATGTTTAATTTGTTTTTGAAAAGGTATCAATTAAAAGTCAAACTGGCCAGCCTGAAATTTCCCAAAATTTAACGCGGACCCTAGTAAAAGGAATCGATGTAATATTTTAGTATTTAGGGTACGTTTAGTAAAAGGAGATGGGGATTAGTAAGGTTTTCAATTTAATATAAGGGGAAGCTTCGAAATCCAATTTGGCAAGATTTGGGTTAGATTTTGAATAGGAATTCAATCGGTTTTGAAATATAAAGTTCATTTTTTAAAACGAATGTTTTCAATTTAATGTCAGGGGGAAGCTTCGGAATCCAATTTTGGCAATATTTTAGTTAGATGTTATTTAAAAAATGTTTTCCAATTTAGTTTTTTTTAACCAAGGGGGAAGTTTCGCACCCTCATACTAAATACCCACTAAATACAAAAAACTATTCCGTGTGTTCATTATTGGGTGGGGAGGGGCAGACGGTTTATTATGACGCAGGGATTGGTCAGGCATCACTTGCTGGAATTATTGGATTCTTTTGGGATGATTGGTATGATGTTTAGTCAGGCATGGTTCCCTTCAGTCATGCACGATTTTTGCAAAAATCCTATTTAGGCACGACCCCAAAATCCCAGCCCGGCAAATTCCGGCCCGGGCCCGGCAAATTCCGGCCCGCGCCCTGCAAATTCCGGCCCTGCGTTTTTCCAAAATCAGGCCAAAATCAGGAAATCAGGTATTAAGTCAGGTGTAGTTACCTTTTAAGTCATTAAAGCTAGTCAGGCATGGTTCCAGTGGGTACCTTTTAATTGTGAAGGCTAGTCAGGCATGGTTCCCTTAATTCAGGGACATGGGTACCTTTTAATTATGAAGGCTAGTCAGGCATGGGTTCTGTTAAGTCAGGCGTGGGTGGGTACCTCTTAATTATGAAGGCTAGTCAGACATGGTTCCCTTAAGTCGGGTGTGGTTACGCTTAAAGTCATGAAGGCGAGTCAGGCATGGGTACCTTTTAAGTGATGAAATCTGAATCAGGCGGAGCTCCTATTCTAAATGTGTTAAATCCAATTGTTCACTGTTCAAAATCGATTTTTTGGCTGGTCTACGGGCAAACCCTGTGTCTTCCAATACCATAGCGTGCTGATGTCGTTTGCCTGCATAATAGTTAAGGCCAAAGCTTAGGTCATCAGTGTGATCCTGAAATGGCGCCACGAGCAAGAAGATGACATGTGTAAAATGGGCCCTGGATTAACAAAGGCTGACTAATGAATTTGGAGGATGCCACTAAAGTATGACATGTAATCACTTTTGAGGAGCACTCTATGGCACGCAGCGCGCGCAGCCTGCTTTACGGTTTAGCGTTTGAAAGTTTTAGGCTTTGTCTCTATGGCACGCAGCGTTTGAAAGTTTAACCGTTTACCTCTATGGCAGGCTGTGCGCGCAGTACGCGTTACGGTTTAAAGTTTGAAAGTTTTAGGGTTTATGTGTGTGGCACGCAGTGCGCGCAGCGCGCATTAGGGTTTAGGGTTTGGAAGTTTTATAGTTTATTTTATTGCATGCAGCGTGCACGGTTGCAGGGTTCCAAGGTTCCAGCGTTCCAAGGTTGCAGGGCTCCAGAATCCTTGAGGGTTCCAGGGTGCCAAGGTTCCAAGGTTTCAGGGTTCCACGGTCGCAGGGTTCCAAGGTTCCAGGGTTTCAGGGTTCCAGGGTTCCGGGGTTCCAGGGTTCCAGGGTTCCAGGGTTCCGGGGTTCCAAGGTTCCCAGGGTTCCAGGGTTCCAGGGTTCCAGGGTTCCAGGGTTCCAGGGTTCCATTCCGGATTTTGAAGGCTGCAAGTCCCCGCGAGCCAGCCCCAGCCCTAGAGATTGAAACCCAACAGGCCCTGCTGTTGGGAATTTATGCTTAATTATCTTTCTGCGAACAATAATTTGTCAAAAAAACAAAAAAAAGATGCTTTAAACCATGTAAAGTTATTCTACTAATTTAGAGACCTAGAATTGTGACCACTTCAATAGCTAATCGCATAATTTCGATTCATATATCAAATAATAAATATATATATATGTCATTATCTTTTCTATTTATTTTCTAAAAGGAGTCCTCCCGATTCCCGACTTTGTTTACCCCAAAAGTTTATTTAATATATTTTATGGTTAGACCAACCAATAGTTGATGTTTCAAATGATGTTGTATACTGTTATGAATGCTTGTCTGTTGGATGTTGCTATAGAAAATGTGTGTGAAATGTTGTATATGGTTGGTGGCTGGTTTTTAAAAAAGTCGTAGAACTCCATCCTAGCTGCTACACTACATTACATCACATTACACTACATGACATGACATTACCTTGAATTAAATCACGTCACATCATATTATCATACATTAAATACATAGGCACATGTGTACATATGGTCATGCATGCGTACATACACACTTCGACTACATGACATGACATTACATGACATGACATGACATGACACGACATGACATGACATGACATAACATGACATGACATGACGCACATGTCATTACATTAAATTGCATTACATTGCAGTACAGTACCTACATGTCACAAACGTCACGCATCTTACACATTATACACATGTCACACATTACATACATTACATACATTGCAGTACATTACATTACAATACAGTACACACATTGCACACATTACATACATTACATCCCTTCGATACATTACTTGCCTTACATACATTACGTACAAAACATACGTTACATGCATCACAAAACAAAACATAGCATAGCAAACCATAACATAGCATAGCATGGCACAGCATTTCAAACCATAACAAAGCATAACAACACAATACAGTACGGTACAGTACAGTACAATACAAAATACAAAACAAAATACAATACAAAATACATTACAAAACACAATACAAAATACAATGCAAGATATAATACAAAATACATCAAAATAGAATACAAAATACAATACAAAATACAACACAATATAATACAGTACAGCACAATATGATACAGATACAGATACAGACGCAGCACATATACAGATACAGAAAAAATACCATGCCATACAAGACAATACAAGACGAGACGACACGACACAACACAATATACGACACAACACAATTCAACGCAACACGATTACACAACACGACACAACACATCACAACACAATACAGTACAATACATACATGCATGCATGCAGACAGACAGACATGCAGACCTACAGACATACACGTTGTAATACGTAGCAATCTTTCGCTGAGGTCAGCACGTTGGTGCAACCTCTCTTCTCGCTCAGACAGCTCTGCTCTCATCTTCGACATGGCCTGACAGAAGAATGGGTGTCAGAGATGCGGAGACCACTATGCGCCCAGCGTAGGGCAACTCAACGCATCTGATTGCATACACTACAGTCATCTCAGCCTTGGCTCATTGCATGACATCGTTTAAGTTTGTTCCATGAAGAGTCTGAATGCCCAGTACTGCTGGTTATTGTGCCTTGGGCTTATTGCTGGTTGATTCCTTGATTTTGCTCGCATCTCATATCAGCCGGTCAGACTTCATACATCACGGAAGCAAAAGCAAAATCAAGTCATCACTTCCAAACCACCTCTTGGAGCTCCGCCCTGCTCTTCGTTGCTTCTTCCAAAGCCTGGATAAATACGTGGGCAAATAAATCCAGATCTCTGACAACTTCACATATATTTTCCCCCGTTTGGAAATTTCGGTGGAATTTTGATATTTCGCTCTCAAAAACGGCTTTGGTCGGGATTCGAATGTTGGAGACCAAGTAATTATTCTTGAATTCTGGCCCAATAACAGCAAAAAACTTCGCTGAAATTTCAACGGAACTGCCACAAGTGGCGCAAAAATTCAGCGGAATGACCCAGAAATGGACATGGTCGGCTGAATTTTTGGTTTCGGCACACATGTATAGAAATGTCACATGTCAGCAACTCCTGTGCTGACATGAAATTTCGGCAGGACTACAACTCGAGGTGAAATGAGAAGGTTTTGTAGTCTGAATTTGTTTTTCTCTCTGCTGGGAGCTTTGCGATCTGCTCCCGCTCCAGCATGCGGATTCGAGCGAGCTCAGCCGCCTGTTCCGAGCGCTTCATGATATGGCTGCACCACACCAGGAACACAAACGAATCGCCTCAGTTTCCCTTCGAATTGTTGCTTCGCACCGGGCTTGAAACCTGGCAAGGCTGAGATCAACTGCTCAAAACCTGTCAGACGATCTGCAGATCCGGGTTGTCTAAGACCAGAACTGCAACCTGCGCTCCTCTGCAGTTCGCCTGTCGCCTTGATCACTTGGCCTGGGATTCGAAGCATTGATAGCTAGTGATCACGTTCAAGCCGGTCGTCGACTCTGTACTTCCTCAAATTTCACTCTAACAGATTAACTTTTCAACTCACACATGGGAAGCGTGCAGCAAGGCTGCTGCCTTAAATCTGAACCTGAAACCTGAGTCCTTGACTCAATGCATGCCTGAAGTTTCTCATCTAGGTTTTGGCCAATCCCTGCGCAAGCATGAGGCTGTAACATTCACATTGAAATTGGCTCGTCCTCGCGCACACACTGCTGAATGAATAAACAATTTATTCTGAAGTTGGATCCTTGTGATGGTGGCATGTTTAATTTTGACAGAACACATACAAATTGTGTTCAAAACCAACCAACTGTATACACCCCGGTTCTAGGCTGAACCAGTTGCTTGGATGACACCCTTCGTCATATCACCATGGAAAGGCAACGTCTTGTTTGGTGGATAGCTGCCAGACCATGCGTTCACCCCCTGCTTGACTTACAAATCATTCAAATGACTCTTTCCCGCATGACACTAACAGGTTTCACACACTAGACAAGAAATGGATCATTGAAGTGATCCGTTGGGAACTGAATCCCCTCACATGCAATTGGATTAGAAACAATGACCTCAAGTAGATTTCCTCGATGTAAAATGCGAATAAATTGAAGGTATTCCGAAATCGTCGATCGTGGACAAAACCAGATTCCAAAACCAAAAGATTCCAAATAAATAGCCATGTCAGGGTTCTCGGCTTAGCCCTTCGCCATCTCGGGAAAATACCATGTGGGCAATGTGTAAAACAACATCGAAAATAAGGTAAAGTTGCGGCGACCGTGTAAATATGAAAATGCTGTTGGGGTTCATGGCTTAGCCCCTTGCCATTGCAGTGAAAAAAGTGCAGGTACGCATGGCTGATCGGGCCATGTATCACCAGGGAAGCCAGAATGTCTTCGTTGGTTGTAGACTCTGGACCCTGCTACCACCCCCTGCAGAAGTTTTACCTCAGTTCGGACGTTACACACACACACTGTGGGGTAATGGTGAGTAGAAAGTGTGAATGATGTCATAGTCTTCGCCTGATTTCCTGAGTTGCCTGGCAGTAGATTTTCAGCGGACACGGATTCGCGATCGAAGAAACAACGCACAGCTCATAAACAAAAACAGAAAGTCAACAGTTGAAACATGTTGAAACTATAGCAGGTACGTAGATCAGGCGTCCCTGACCTATATCCTTACCACATGTCACCCAGCTTCGTTGGCAGAGGAAGTGACATGGGCACCTCTGCCCCCTGCTTTTGAGAATTGTACAAGCGCAATAAACAGAACTAAAACCGTTTGTTATAGCGGTGTACACACACACAATGGCCCCGAAATGGGGCAAAACCGCAAACCGCCTAGTTTTTACCTAAGAAAACGGACCTAAAGAGCCTGCCTAAGAGAATGAATACCTGGCCTAAAAGAACCTGATGACGATGACGAGTGATGTGAAAAGCAAAAAGTTAAACCGAGTTCGATAAGTCGTAAATCCTAACGTTAAAGAAAATGCGCATGCAAAAGCTGTACGTTTGAGTTCAAAAAGAAAACGATGCACAAGACTGTACGATAAAGCCTTTCAGCCAAGACCTCATTTGTAATTCCATCTCATCGTCAAGAACAAATAATCGTACAGGTACATTGGCAAGTGAAAGTTCTGAGTTCCGGAACTGCAGAATGAGCTTGAGTTGTTGCTGAGCTCTTGACCGAAAAGGTTCCGACAAATTTCGGCTCAATCTGCATAAGAAAATTCCCTGCTGTATCAAAACATGATTGGTTCATCAAAATTAAATTGTTTGCTAGATAGTAACCTAAGGAGCCTGCCTAAGAGAGTGAATACATGGCCTAAACAGAACCTGATGACGATGATGAGTGATGTGAGAAATAAAACGTTGAACCATGTTCTATACCTAGTAAAACTGACCTAAGGAGCCTGCCTAAGACAATGAATACATGGCCTCAAAAGAACCTGATGACGATGACGAGTGATGTGAGAAACAAAACGTTGAAACCAAACCTAAGGAGCCTGCCTAAGACAATGAATACATGGCCTAAAAAGAACCTGATGACGATGACGAGTGAGGTGAAAATGCTACTGAGACTCCGACCAGACCAAAAGCACTTGTATTGCACCCGTGGTGCTGGGAACTTCGACTTATGTCTGCTTTGTCCGAACTGGACGAAACTTCTGCCTTATGGCTTCTTCGCCTTATGGCTGCTTCGATTGGATTTTACAGTGTAAAATCTTGACTTCGTCATATGACGCTTGAAATGCACTCGAAGTGCATACGGCTTCGGAGATTCATACTCCACTCTGAATACGGGAAAATGCCCGCTCATGACTTTTTGACTGGTCGAAACCAACCGACGGTGCGACCAAGTCAGGTCAAACACCCAGGACACACTGTGGGGTAATGGTGACTAGAAAGTGTGAATGATGTCATAGTCTTCGCCTGATTTCCTGAGTTGCCTGGCAGTAGATTTTCAGCGGACACGGATTCGCGATCGAAGAAACAACGCACAGCTCATAAACAAAAACAGAAAGTCAACAGTTGAAACATGTTGAAACTATAGCAGGTACGTAGATCAGGCGTCCCTGACCTATATCCTTACCACATGTCACCCAGCTTCGTTGGCAGAGGAAGTGACATGGGCACCTCTGCCCCCTGCTTTTGAGAATTGTACAAGCGCAATAAACAGAACTAAAACCGTTTGTTATAACGGTAAGCCTAGACAATTAGACCTAAAGTAGATCGCAGGTACACCAGGGTGATCAGCCCCGGCTTCCACCATCATGCATAGCTTCGTTGGCATGCGTTTGCATGATGGCCGCATGCCCCCTGCTCTATTAGAAAGGGAGAAGAAATAAGAAAGAAAAAGGAGAAGTTTTACA